GAGTTGGGGTTTTAACTATATAAAACCGAGATGCATGTTTGCATGGAAATGTGAAATTAATGTTAAGACTTAATGAAAATGGAACCTAAGGGTTGAAATGTTAATTATGGAAAATGCCCTAATTACATTGGTTAATTAATTTGCATAATTAATTATGAGAAATGAGGAATTGATTTGGGAAGTCATGGGATAAAAGGGTGTGGTTGGATTATTTATCACTCACCTAGTTGGAATGTTGATTATATATCCATTGTTGCATTTATTTTCTGTATAGAAATAACTAACTTTGGGCTATCGATGGAGGATAGTCGTGATTGTTGTAGACAATGCATGTTGATTAGGCAAACTGAAACTAATCACTGGAATGTGTCATTGGGATTGACGATTGAAAGACACGTTAAATTCATGTGTTGTGTGATGATGTGTATAATTATTGTTTTATATGCATTGTGTTGTGTTGGAGGAGATAGGGGATGTACTCCACGGTTTAGGGGAAGATAAGGGATGGACCTCTAAACCGGATGCGTTGGGAGGAAATAGGGGATGGACTCCGTAGATAGAGCTCATATGCTTATCTAGTGATGTATTGACAGAGCTCATATGCTTGTCATTGGAAGTGTGATAGTGCTCATATGCATATCTGTGGAATTGATGATATAGCTTGTATGCTTATCTGTTGTTGTGTGATAGAGCTAGTATGCTTATCTGTTATGAAATGGAAAGTGTTTGATAATGAGTTACTGTCTCATATGAGTGGTTGGCCAGGTTCCGAGCCATGGTTGTAAATTGAGAATTTGAAGGAACTGGAAAATGAATTGTAACATGGACTCGTATGTCATGAAACTGTAAAGTGTATAAGAGAAAGTATCAGTGTTGGCCATCTATCAACTGCTAATCTTTTAGTCATTGTTCATATTCGGTTTAGTGTATTTCTACTGGGCTGTGGCTCACCCTATATGGGAATATCATTTTCAGGTACAGGTAGCATGCCACCTCCAAGGACGTAGCTTGGGAGGCTAGAGGCAGGCGGACTTTTGTTGTTTTATTTTCTTGATATATTACTTGTATATTCAAGCAAGGGCTTAATGTGTAAATGAGTTAGCACTCTTTTGTTGTAACCAAGTGTCAACTTGGAAAGTTGTAAGCCGTAGGGCATTTGCTTTTCTTGATTAACATGTAAATATTTTTGTAAAAGAACTACTCTGATGAATAAAAGGATGTTTATCTTTATTACCAATGCATGTCTATATTGATGGGTTTAATGTATTATTTTGAGGGCGTTACAACTTGGTATCAAGGCGTACCGGGTTCGAATACTCTGGGTACGCGGGAAGTGATTAGGATCAACATGGGTTGTCTCGCTTGATAGAGACTTAGATGTAGTGCCATATGCTTATGTGCTTCAATTGATAACACGCTTATGTGACTATGTGGGTATGGAATGTAGTTTCCAGGATGTTGATTCGGATCCTTGGGTTGCTGGGAGTCTTGTTGGAAAGGCACTTGATCAATGCTGTTTCTAACCGGAACTCTAGTGACGCCTCGGGACTATCATTATCCGGAGATGAAATTCGTAAGTGCTTATGTGTTTATGTGCTTACGTGGGAGTGAATTACAGTTGTCCATGCATTAGGACATGAGTGTTTAGTTTTGGCACATTTGTAAATGTGCTAACGTTCTGTATTACTTTTATTAGGATGTCAGGGCGAGGAAGAGGCGCTAGGTGTGGTAGGCCTGCGAGGCAGGAAGTACTTTACCGGATGATATTCCGACAGTGCAGGAGGGTGTTGGTCAGGCCAATGTGCCAAGCCAGCGGGCCAGCAGGCTATGAGTGCCTTGGCACGAGAGATAGCGGGAGCTTTGGGTATTCTTAGAGCTGGGAATCAGGCAGCTGAGGTAGGGCCTTCTTTCTTGAAGAGAGAGTTTTTCCGGTCAACCGGAGGAGTTTGTTGGGGATCCGAAGGAGCCACTGAACGCTAACGAGTGGTTAGAGCAGATGAGTAAGACGTTCGAGATGCTTGGCATCGAGGACGGAGCATTGAAAGTGACCTTGGCATCCTTCCAGTTGAAGGGAGATGCGGGTCAATGGTGGAAGTACGAGAAGGCTCGTGTTGGTGGAACATGGGAGGCGTTTGTGAATGCTTTTCAGGAGAGGTTTTCTGCATGGCTAGGGAGAAGCTGAGGGATCAGTTTAGCTGGCTTAATCAGCAGGGTATGTCTGTGGCAAAGTTTGAGGCCACTTTACTAGTTTGTCCAGGTTTGCACCTGAGTTGGTAGCGTCCGAAGAGCGCCGTTTGCTATGAGTTTGAGAAGGATTGAAGCGGGGCCTCAAGTTGAGGTTGGTGGGTCTTACATCCGAGAGTATAGACATTTAGTGGATGCTGCAGCTCATATGGAGCTTATGATGCAGGAGGAGGATGAGGGCAGAGAGGCTCCAAGAGGAGCCAAGATGGTCAGGGTGATGGCAGGAGACAGGGGTTCTAACCCTCAGCAGTCTCAGGGTGGTTTGGCTAGATCGACTTTCCAGTGCCGAGTGCGGGTTCTGGGAAGGTAGTCAGGGAGGCTTGACTTGTTTTGCGTGTGGCCAGCTAGGTCACAAGTCTTCGGTTTGGCCGCAGAAGGGAGGGGGTCAGCGAGCTACTTCTTCTTCAGCTAGACCTCAGGGCCAGAGTCAGGGCAGGGGCCAGCCTTTGTCTTGTTATCAGTGTGGTCAGCCTGGGCACCTGAAGAGGTATTTGCCGACAGTTGGGTGCCACATCGGGAGCGTCTGGTTCTAGGCAGACGCAGGGATTTCAGCCAGCTCAGTCTGTGCAGGCCTCGAGGGCCAATCCGGGAGCCTCGTCATCCCAGTCAGTGCAACAGTCGTATGCTCCGAGGGGTGAGCAGGTGGATCAGGGGCCTACAGGGCGCATGTATGCTATTACCGCGCAGGATTTAGTACCGGCTCCATCAGTAGTGAGAGGTACTTTTTTGTTTTGCAACTCAGTTGCTAGTGTGTTGATTGACACGGGTGCATCTCATTTTTTATCTGCTGCATTTGCATCTGTTTTGGAATTGGAGTTGGCACAGTTAGCATCTCCTATTTGTGTAGTGTCACCCTCTTGGGGTGAAGTGATCTTGAAACAAGGTGTTAGAGGTTGTGATATAGAGGTCGCCGACCATAGGCTTCCTTTTCAGTTCGTTGTCATGCCCATGAAGGGCTTTGATGTTATTTGGGTATGGACTGGCTATCGTCATATCGGGCTGTTATCGATTGCTACCGCCAGAGGGTACGTTATGTACCTTGAG